AAACAACATAGCATCTACTCTAGTGGGATAAAGTAAGATGGAAAGACATGGTGTTTGGGGTATTTCTGAGTTTGGTTCAATTCATAAAATATATTGTGAACAATGTAATTTCCCTTAATTTTAGTTAACCTATGTAAATGTAAATCTGTGAAATGTTACTACCTTCTTACTAAAGCTTTGATGGTCCCCTGCCATATTCTGGTTTGGCTTTTGTATTAAAGAACCATTTTTATTTTGGTTTCACTGTATACAGGTAGACTCTTGTTTTAACGACTAGAGCTATAATCTGTTTTGAACAGGAAAAGCTATCTTCGTATTCTGGATAAAGTTCATGCTAGTGGGATTTCACTTATGAAACTAAACAAATCTTTAAAAAATTTAAAAACCATATGTATTTATACAATGTCCATTTAGTAGAAGTCGTTTAAATAAAGGCTTCTGCCAGTACATCAATATTTAGAACTGTAATTTATTATTTTACTTTTTTGAGAGGGTCTTGTTCTGTCACCTAGGCTGGAGTGCCGTGGTGTGAGGATGGCTTACTGCAGCCTCCTTCTCGCGGGCTCAAGAGATCTCCCACCTCAGCCTCCCGAGGAGTTGGGGCCATGGGTGTGCACCACTATACCCAGCTTGCTTACTTATTTATTTATTGATTTGAGATGGGAGTCTCACTATGTTGCCTAGGCTGGTCTTGAACTCCTGGGCTTAAACAATCCTCTAACCTCGGCCTCCCAAAGTATTGGGTTTATGGGCTTGAGCCACTGTGCCTGGCCTTGAATCTGTATTTTAATAGTATGCTTACTTGGCTGTGGTGTTGTGAAGACATCACTGAAAATGGAGTCAGAGGTGTGATTTGAGCCTGTCATTTGTTGTGGGGCAAGGAGGTCAGGGGAGCTAACATCTAAAGGCTCACTGTATGCTAGGCACAGAACTGTGTTTGCATGCATATTTGGTTTTCGTCACCAGATTTTGAGGTAGATTTTATGGATAAGGTCTTTAAGGCAACACCAGCTTCCTTTTTAAAAAGAAATTCCAGAAACTGAGTTTTAGGTTCAAGATATCTCATTGGTAGGGACAGCTAAACCACAGGGTCCTAACTGTCCTGCGATTTATCTCCTTTTGGGGGTATCTTGATAATAGGGTGCACTTTACCTCACTTTTTGGCTCAAGGGTGGATAGGCCACCCTTTTCTTTTCATACCTGTAGCTAAACTTTACAAATGATATGCTGATAAGATACAAGCTACTCTTTGTCAGTGTGGTTAATAGACCTGTTTGTTTGCTTGTTTTTAAGTTTATAGCAGCCCCACCCCCAATCAACAATTTCACCTTCTGAGGTTTTAGTTACTCAGTCAAACTACAGTCCAAAAATATTAAATATTCTGAGAGAGAGAAGACTATAGCTACATAACTTTTGTTACAATATATTGTTGTAATTGTTCATTTTACCATTAGTTATCGCTGTTAATCTCTTACTGTGCCTTATTTATGAATTAAACTTCATGCATATGTATTGATAGGAAAAAACATGATATGTGTAGAGTTCAATCCTATCTGCAGCTTTAGGCATCCACTGTGTGGTTGCGGCGGGGGGGTCTTGGGTTATACGGAGGGACTGCTGTACAATTACCAGGCACATGTAGGCTCTGGGATTTTACAAATGAGTAAAAGTGGTTCTTGCTATTGAAGCACTTACAGTGGGAGTAGAGTGAAAAACATGGAAATGTGATTTTAATATGTTGAAATGCTTTGATGGTGGGAGTTTTGTGTAAAACATCCTTTTAATTGGTACCTTAAATTTTGATATTTTTTTCCACAGATCTGCTTTGGTCCTACGCTTTCTTTTTCTTTTTTTTTGAGAAAGAGTTTTGCTCGTTACCCAGGCTGGAGTGCAATGGTGCGATCTCGGCTCACCACAACCTCCGCCTCCTGGGTTCAGGCAATTCTCCTACCTCAGCCTCTCAAGTAGCTGGGATTACAGGCGCACACCACCATGCCCAGCGAATTTTTTGTATTTTTAGTAGAGACGGGGTTTCACCATGTTGACCAGGATGGTCTCGATCTCTTGACCTCGTGTTCCACCCACCTCGGCCTCCCAAAGTGTTGGGATTACAGGCTTGAGCCACCGCACCTGGCTGGTCCTACACTTTGAAAGAACTATCTGGACCCTGTAGATCTGTCATGATATACCTTATTAGTTATGTTATTAATGGTAGAAACAGCACGGAAAGTCTTATAGAATATCAGACAGGGACAGTTGTAGTACCAAAACATAAAATGCCAACTAATGTCTTCACCAAGACATAAAATATACATCTTAAAAAATGAATTGTAACAATACCCACATTGTACATCAGTGAAAACTAAACAGTTACTGCCCTAGGCTTTATTGTACAGGGGTGCTACCTCCAAGGAGAATGTTTGTCTAGGCAGCAGATGGACTTGGAGGTGATTAGCCTATGAGCTAATGAGGCTACAGATCTTTCCTTTTTATTTGATTCCTTTTCCTTCTAGTTCCTAGGTCTTTAAAGTGTCAAGTTGTCTTAAGTAATTTTCATAGAATTAGTTAAGTTCATCTGTTAACCGACTAGCAGGAAGAAAATTGTTGTCATGAAATTATTTTTAAAAATAATGCTCCAGTTTCTTCCCATCTTTGATGTCTTTTGGTCCCACCGCACTGCCTTCCTAACACCGTTTTCTGCTTTACCTCAAAGCTGGGGTTATCTTGAGTTTAGTCTTCTCAATCCGAGTGACTGTCAGCTTTACTCCACTTGAGCAACTCTCAGGCAAGGCCACACTTGGAACCTTTTCACTTGGAATAGTTCTATCTCGGTGATTTCATCAGCCTTCTTTATGTGAAGTTCTCACTCAAATTCCTGCCCATTCTTATCTGTTTACTCCCTTTAAGTTCTCAGTCCTTTTAATTTGTGACTTTCACTCTCCAGGTCCATCCTTGTTAAATGTCTACCCAGCCAGACTTTAGTTGCCCCCAGTCTAGCTTTCTCTTGCTCAGACGTAAGATTTCTTTAGGTTCTTCCTTTGCCTTTTGAAATCCAGCTCAAGTTTTAAGGTTGAGTTCACTTGTTACCTCTTTTGCCATCCTTCTGCAGTTCCTAATACTCTTTTCTTTCCCCCAAAGTGCTTTTGTATGAACAGCCTTCTGTATCTGTGAATTTCAGATCCATGCATTCCGAATTCGTGGGTTCAACGAACTGCAGATAAAAAATATTCAGAAAAAAGTGAAGGATGGTTGCCTCTGTACTGAACATGTCTATACTTTTTTTCTTGTCATTATTTTCTGAACAATACAACAACTATTTACATAGTATTTATATTGTATTAGGGATTATAAGTAATCTAGAGATGATTTAAAGTATATGGGAATTTCTCATATCCCAGGAAGCCAAATTAAAAAAAAGTATATGGGAGGCTGTGCATAGGTGATATGCAAATATTATACCACTTTATATCAGGGACTTGAGTATTCGTGATTTTGGTATATGAGGGGTGTCCTGGAACCAATTCCCCAGGGATGCTGAAGTAGGACTGTCTGTCTCATACTGTATTTTTCTCCCTATCTTAGGTAGAATATCAGGGACAAGGATTTAATCATATTAGTATATTCATTTTATTCAAGTTCATATACATTGCCTGGGTCATAATATTTATTACATGCTTGAGAAAATGAATTTCTTTGCCCCTTGGTTTCAGTTCTAGTAAACAGCCATCTGCTTTCTCTGTCACCTGTTGGTGGTTGAGTATTTCTGTAGAAAGTTACCCACTGACCTCAGAACTCTTCTAAATCTTCTCCTTAGGCAGTTTTCTCTGTGCATGATATTTTTTATAAACAAATAGATGAAGCCTGCCCTACTCATTTATTTGTTTAAGCCAGAAAGTCACCTTTTTCTTCATTTTCCATATTTAAATCGTCATTTGGTTAAACTTCTGGCCTAAATAACTCTTGAATTCATGTGCTTTTTCATGTCACCACCAGTATTGAATAGAAGCCTCTGTCACCCCTTGTCTGGATGCTGTGCTGGAGCAGCATCTTAACCTAGTTGCAGTTATTCTTTTACTCCTTCACCCCACACCCTTTTACTTAAAACAGTAAAAGGGGCTTCCCATTGTTCTTAAGATAAAGCACAAATTGTTAGTTTGGTCTGCAAAGCTTTGCACAGCCTGACAGAGAATGTCCTCCTAATAATTTGAAGATACAGTATGATTTTAATACTTTAGAAGAAAATGTTCTAGGAAAAGACATTTGTTTAGACTTAAGGTGAGGTCTCTGCAGTATGAATTAGACATCTGGTGAACTATAAACTGTCCCCGCATTTAAACATAATTGGTTCTTAGAGCATGCAACTAAAGATAAGGCAGAAGAATTTACTTTGCATTTCCTGCATTCCTCTTTTCACTTGATAACAAACTCCTCATGTTAGTAAAGGTGGCACAAGAGGCAAAAATACAGACTTTATCACAGTGTTTAAGGAGAGGTGCATGGTTCAGCGTGTGGGGAGAGAGTACCTTTGTTTGTGCATTTATTACATGTTGAACTGTTTGTAAATATTCCTTCTTCTTGGATTTACCTTTTTCAGTTATTCCATTATGCCTTCTGTAACAGCTGATTTAATGATGAAAAACTTAGTATGTCTTTATATTTTCTTCCCTCCGCAAATGTGGATCTCACAGAGTTAAAAACTAGGTTGTGGCATAGTATACTGAATTCCTGTAATGGGATCATGTTTCAGTAATATGGCTGCAATTTAGTGTAGAATTTTTGTAAATAAAAGTATATTTAAAAAATATATTAAATAAAAACTCACACTTTCAATGAAATGTTTTAAGGATTTAACCATACAGGACAAATGAGCCCCTTTCTGCAAATACCAACAGTGTAATATGTGTCATTTCTTCACTGATTGCTTGCTGCAGATTAAAACACAGGTGATCATATTCAGGCTGGTTAGATTAGTGATTTTAATATGAAACCATTGCTTTTAGAATAATCATGGGCCAGACTGGGAAGAAATCTGAGAAGGGACCAGTTTGTTGGCGGAAGCGTGTAAAATCAGAGTACATGCGACTGAGACAGCTCAAGAGGTTCAGACGAGCTGATGAAGTAAAGGTATACTTTTATCTTTTGTGAAAATGAATATACAATTAAGGATAGGTTCATTTTTCCCCCTAAGTTTTTATTTGCAATAATATATTTCTAGCCAAGTTTGTATTTACAGTAAGATAAGTGAATACTTGGAAGGTTAGGTTCTTGATCTGTCTTAACATTACAACATGCACATTAATCAGTTGTTGTTTAGTATACTTTTATTTGCATGTGCAGACTGAGGGCCTAAATATAAAGGGATGTATTTCATAATTTTATATTTTTAAAGTCATTGTGATTAAAAAAATATATACACACACATACAAACACACACACATGCAGTCAACAAAGAAAGGATGGAAATGATTTCCTGTTCCTTAACCACTTGCAATAAAATAATAGATGTGGTGTTTTTGTATTATTTGAATGTGGAAAACTATATTGTAAAATCCACATGCACCTGAGAAAATGTTCTTGATATTGAGAAAACACTAGATTTTTAACCTGCTTTAAAGGTGTTACACATTTTCTAACAATGAACAATTTTTCCTTTCCTTTCCTTCATTTTTTTTTTAAAGAGTATGTTTAGTTCCAATCGTCAGAAAATTTTGGAAAGAACGGAAATCTTAAACCAAGAATGGAAACAGCGAAGGATACAGCCTGTGCACATCCTGACTTCTGTGAGCTCATTGCGCGGGACTAGGGAGGTTGGTTAACATAACATGTTGTAGTAATTATCATCACCTTTTGGTTTTTGCTGTTGGAACAATTTGTTTGGTTATTGGGAGGAAATCATTGAACTCAGGGTGACCATTTTTTTATTGCTATTTCTTTTTACTGTACAACTGTTAATGGCTGCTATAGATCCCACTACTAGCTATTCCTATAACAGAGTTCTAATTGTTTGGAATATACTTTGAACTAGGTAGATGCCAGATTTTGTAAGACTGTTGATATAAAAAAACTTTTAAATCAAAGACTCTTTAATGTTCTCATCAGATCACTATTTAGAGCAAGGTTTTCTGACTCACTGTTGTAATGCTAATTTGAATTAGCCATGTGGTCAGAAATGTTTTCATATTCATATACCAGAAAGCTATTTATTGTATATGTTGTTCAAAGGGTAAGCCTCTCTATAAGAATTTTAAAATTTCGTGTTGAGAGATTAGAATTTCTATTTCTATAGTATTTTTTGAACGAGGTAGCTCATAATTACTCTAAGAGTTTCCTATTTTCAAAGAAAGGCAGTAAATCTATGGTAGAATCTATAATTAAATATCCCACTAAAACATGCTTGCAGCAAGATGAAAAGAAAATGGCAAAAGCCTAAATAGCTTAGGCATTTTTGTTTAAGTGCCTGTGTTGTATAGAAAGATATGGCATAGGATATTTAAAGGGGAGTTGAAGCAAAAGGGGAGAGAGTGATTTGGAATTAAAATTACACTGTGTAGTAGATTGTTTATCTGAATGTCTAAATATGAGACACCTAAACAATTGAATTTGTTTTAAAGTAATTTTTCAATGAGTAGTCATTTTCAATATAACATTATTGTAACAAACAACAATTTGCTATTCTATGAGGCCTTTTGGAAATTATGTGACATACAGGCTTCAAAGACTTGTCAGTGATATCCCAGTAGCAACAGCCATAATCCTAATGATGATTTCAGGGATATTCTGGTGGTCTTGATAGTGACATATGGAATGATTCTTAGTCATTTATGCATTTTGTTAGGTGACACCTCTGTAAAGCTCTGACTTATAATCGTATAAATATTTATTATACACTGACCCTTTCCTCCTCATCTGGTACAAGCCAGAGCCTAGATGTTAGAGGTCAGTGGCTTGGGGGAAAGGGATTTTTTTCTATGCCCATCAGAATGTTCTTAAAGGAAATAAGGATGTGGCTTTTAAGTAATTGTCTTGAAAGTTTTATCTGGTGATCTTTTCAAAATGTTGAAATGAAGGAAAAACCTCATTTTCTCCCTGGAGGAATAAATCTTAGAAATTTGGAGAAGTTAGGTAGATTTATGTTGAATACTTATTTTTGCCACCATTTTGAATCTCAAAATGCTTCTGAAAGCCTAACTTAGGCTTATAGTAAGAGTTAACAGCAATAATGAATTATGTCACTGTTCTAGGTACTTTGTACACATTACCTCATTGAATTTTCATGATAAGGAAGGAATATTATACCCTTAAAAAAAAAAATCCAGGCAAGGAAACAGCCTTAGAAGAGTTACGTCAATTTGCCCTCTCTAATGATCTGATGTGCGCCCAGAGGAATGCACTTTGCTCAGACACATGAAGGATTAGTGAAGTACATTATTTACATTGAACTTGAGTTGCATGTATAATATTTGGCATTAAATTTAAGACTATTGTTTGTTCAAGTGGATGTTTACTAATTGAAATTTTCTTTTAATTTCGTAAAATGGAGACATGTCATTGAATATAATGATACCTAATTTTTTTGAGTTTATGTGAAACATTGTGAGACGAAATCAGCATTTTAGTAAAACAAAATTATTTTCTAAACTTAGTACTTCCACAGTACTCCCCCCTCCCCCACACACACACAGATTGAGAATAAACATTTTCACAAAATATCGGAGGGAAAGGAGGAAAAGAATCCCCAGCCTTAGGAATTCAGTTTTTGTTGTATAGAACTCTGACCTGATTAAGGTCATTAGTTTTTTTTGGCGCCAGTGTTGGTAGCTGATCCTGCTTCAAATTATTCATCTTTTATTTCCCCTACCCCCTTTTCAGACCATCATCACTGACTTTTAGAAGCCGAAGTTTTATATGGTTTGTGATAAGCTTCTTGGCGTTATCACAATAAATTATAGTTTTAGGGCTAAAAAGGACCTTAGTGGTCTCATGGTCCAACCTCCTGACTTTTAAGATGAGAATATGTCCCTGTTTATTTTTTTCTTTGGTTTAAGTGTTTTCATCTACATATTAATTTCTTTTATATGTTTGAGAGATTCTAGTCTGAAGTAGGTCAGGCAGGAGGAGAAAATAAAAGTGAGTCTTGTTTGGCAAAGACTTTCCTTAGTGGTAGGCTTGGCAGAATTTCACACTGCCGTATTGATTCAGACACGTAAAGTCTATAGCATTCAACGTTTGAAGTACCATTATAGCATTGTTTTAATTAACTGCTTGCTTTTTTATAAGCTAATTGTATGTAAGTGCTGGTGTCTTCCATTTAAATCCTCTGTAGCATGACAAATCATTGACAATTTTTAGTTCTTTTGTCAGGTCTTAAACTTACACTCCTGTTTGTAGTTGTAGAAGTGGATGAACTCAGTTTGAAAATGACTGATTTTCTCCAAGTTATTTTGGTAAAGAATGACAAACGTTTACTGTCTGATCTAATGAAGTGAGTGCTTTAGATGCTGATGTCAGGTCAGAGAGCTCTGCGTTTGAACCCAGAGACCACATCTCTAGTATGTTGTTTTCTTACTGTTTGTGGTTTTGTTTTGTTTCGTTTTTGTGACAGGGTCTTCTTATTCTGTTGCCTAGGCTGGAGTGTGGTGGTACAATCACGGCTCTCTGTAGCCTTGACCTCCTGGGCTCAGGCGATCCTCCCACCTCAGCCTCCTGGGTAGCTGTGACTACAGTCACATGCCACCACACCAGGCTAATTTTTTGTCTTTATTTGTAGAGATGGGGTATCGCCATGTTGCCCAGGCTGGTCTCAAACTCCTGGGCGCAAGCAATCCACCTGCCTTGACCTCCCAGAATGCTGAGATTATAGATGTGAGCCACCGTACCCATCCCTTAATGTGTTTTTAAGATACTTTGGGGGTAATTCTTTTTATTATTGAGATTACAGAACCTAAGCAGTATTGTTCATAGAATTTTAATACAGAATTTGTTCACATTTTTTATTTATTTAGAGATGGAGTTTTGCTCTTTCGCCCAGACTGGAGTGCATTGGCGTGATCTCAGCTCACTGCAACCTCCGCCTTCCAGTTTCAAGCGATTGTCTTGCCTCAGCCTCCTGAGTAGCTGGGATTACAGGCATCTACCACCACGCCCAGCTAATTTTTGTATTTTTTTAGTAGAGATGGGGTTTTACCATGTTGGCCAGGCTGGTCTTGAACTCCTGACCTCGTGATTCACTCAACTTGCCCTCCCAAAGTGCTGGGATTACAGGTGTGAGCCACTGCGCTGGACCCAATCACAAGACATTTCTCCTTCCTATATATATGTGTTATGACTAAAAGAGAGGTTTGCTTAGATAATGCATGTCTTCTGGGCAAATGGTATGATTAGTAATTTAATCCATCCTGCCAATATGCTTTTCTAGATTTCCAGGAGAATATAATGTTCCTGTAAGAGTTCTGTGTCTTTGTTTAATGAAAACAGATAATTGGTGTATATTTATTCTTGGGGCTTCAGAATGTCTAAAATAGACGCAGCATCAGAAGGGCATCATGGTCCTCATATGAAGAATTTTAAAACGTTTGAATTTTTAAATATTTACAGATTTGCTCTTTATAGTAATATTTGAAATGATTGTAAGTTTATTGCTTAGCATTTGATATTAGCAGATGATTTATTTTTTTGGAGAAGCTTCTGTCAAAATAATGTGTAAATCCTTTTATATGTTGGCATTTTGGACTTAATATTTTTGTTGAAGGAGAAGGAAAATACCTGGTTTACATGTAAACACTTGGTTGCATTTTTCATTGACTTAGTGATGAAATTGCCTCAGTTAATTGTGAATGAAAATTTAGTTACTATTTACAAAGAAAAAATTATATCCTAGTGTATTTCATATATAATTTAGTGTACTTTACTCAGATACATTCTTTGAGTATAGTAAGATGGTTTCTTTATACATTTCAGGATTGTAGGACCTATAGGTTTAGATTCTCATGAGTCTTTTGAGCAGATACGGCAGAAAGCTGGTCATTTTTCTCATGTCTTTGAATTAAGTGAATGGCTCTCCAAGTTTCTGTCTTAACTCTTAGTCTGAACATAGGCACTCATTCTTACTGTCTCAAGGTAGTGGTCTCTGAGTTGCTTTCTGTGGTTCCTTGCCTCTCTTTAACTCTTTTGGTATTTACTTGGATAGTTGAGTCTTCTTAGGTTAACTGTTGGTCCTTCCCACCTGTGTAACTTTTAAATCTATGTAGTCTTTACTTTATTTCTGGCCTTATTTAGGTTGAAATAGATGTAACAGTTCTTAGATGATCATATGAGAGTTTTTTTTCCTTCTATGCTTTTTTCCCCCCCATTTTATTCTTTGTCCAAAGGGGTAGATTAAAAAAACGAAAGGTCGTTTGTGATATTTGAGTTTATAGTGTTGTCATATGTTAAATAGATATAATTTATTATTTTTATATTTTAAATTTGATTATCTTCAGTTTAAAAAGTGAATTTTTAAAAGTCATATTTAGACAACCAATAAAACTAGCAGAAGTTGCTTTTCGTTTGTTGTTTTCCTCCTAGAATGTTGTGTATATAGTTTGTGTTTTATAAATTATTGTGGTTACAAAGATCATGTATCTTTCCCAAATGCAAAACCAAATTCTGATATCTATTTAAAAATAAAACAACAAATCCAAATGAACAAAAATGGTTGCTTAATCTGGAATGTTAGAAATTGTTTTATCCACTGAAGAAACAAAATTGCATTAGACTCAGGACTTTTGTCATAATTTAGCTTTAAAATATGGATTGACTTAAATTTACT